CACACACACACACACACACACACACACACACACACACACACACACACACTCACACACTCTCACCCACAATGCTTTCTGTAAAATGACTATGACTATGTGCAAGCTTGTTTCAAGATTTCCTCTCACTTCCTTGTGTGAGGAGCTGGTTAAGTAAGTGACTGTTTTGCTGCCCTTGAGATTTCTACAGTAATTTTGTGATATTTCTGTAGCAACATGTGCCTCCCGTCCCTGTCCTTTCCTCTTCTCCTCCTCCCCTTATCCCTCTGTTCTATTGCCCCTAGCCTCCCCCTCCCCACCAATTAAAAAAAAAAAGAAATAGAAAAGTGTTTTAACTTTTTTTTAAATGGAAAAAAAACTATAATTTACGTTGAATGCGATTATTGTCATCGATCCCAGTTTGCACTGTACTGTAAGGTAAGTCTTGTTAATTTCAGTATGTTGTGATAATATTATAATATTCTGAGCCTAGATGGTCACATTTCCCAAATTTATAAGACTTTTAGGGAGCAGCTTGTGCTGGACATTTATTATTGGGTGACAAGTAATTGTTCTTTTCATGTATGTGTTGCAGTATTCCCAAGCAGTTTTACTTTATTTGAATAACTGAGAAGCCCTCTCCACTCTCCATTTAAATTTGAGTCGAGGGTTGAGTTTCAGACTTGTTTTATGTTTTAGTAAGAGTTTCATGCACTTGCGACATGATCAGGTCACATAAGTGCCGAAGATGAGTGGTGTTACAAGAGAGTAACAAACATAGACAAGAAGAAGGACAGATGAAGCCGACTGATGTTTGATAAAAGAGAAGGGGCAAACCACACCAGAGCAACCACTCGTGCGTTTTAGACTTGTTTCAAGGCAAGTCAAGGTCTTGCAAGAGACAGGGTTTTTGATTTAGCATTCATCTCTTATAGGGAGAGGCTTAATGATAGATTTGAACCCATTTAACCTAGAACTAAAGGTGCATAAAGCTATTGAAAAGTACAGTGGGGTTCACTTAAACTGAAACCTTTGGGACCACCAAATTTTCTTTGCTTTGGAAATGTTTTCAGTTTAGAGTGATTGTTTAAATAGTGAAGTAAAAATTTGGGGATTCTATTTTCTTTTGGTTTAGGCTGTTTGCAGATTAAGCGTGTTTGGTTCAAATGAATTCCACAGTAGTTTTGAAGCAAAATTATTTGGAAAACTTGAAGTCATTGTAACAGTTGCCCTACCAGCTCTTCAAATGTTCTGGTTTCACCCTCAATGTGTTTTATCCCAAGCTAAACAAAATAGACAAGAAGGTGGAGTGTTTGAAATCTTAAATTTTGTAGTATAGATCACTCTGTTTCTCGGTTATCTAAATTAAGATCTGTGGGGTTTGTACTTCCATATTTGCTCATATTTTGTTGACAAGGTATGAAATTTTGTTTAGTATTTCATTTGTCTTACTTGAAAAGATTATTGTTTCACAGTACATCCCTTAACAACAATCATCAGTGTAGCATTCATTACTATAACAACATTATCTAGTCAAGGCTTAATTTGTGAAGCCACTCCACTCTGTATGTAGCTATATTTTTGCGTTGTTATATCTGTGAATCTGAACGTGTATAAAAGGTGTACAGTGAGAACTGAGTAGCAGATAACTCTTTAGTTGTAAATTACATACCAGGCTTTATGCAGTGACAACCATTTTTCATTAATGATTTGACAAATGTATCATTTTATTGAAGATACTAATATTTGATGATAAAATGTGTGTGCAATTGAATATATTCTACACATACTTTCTGTGTTTGCCCTGTATTGTACGTCTAAATGTAACTATTGTTTTTGTATACCCATGAGAGTTTTAAACTTGACTACACTGTAACACATCCTCCTGCTGAGTTGTTAAGTTCAAAGTTTGAGTACACAATAAGCGAATCAACATGCTAACAGTTTTTCAGTTCCAAAGAAATCTAGATGGACAGTCAGAAGCAACAGCAGAGCATGTGTTGATGGCCTGTGAACATTTCAGTATTTTCACCAAGTCACAGGCACTGCTGTTGGAGAAAGAAACGCCTACACATGATGCTTAGGGCCTTCACTTATATGCCATGTGTTCAAATTCACATAATGACTGCTCAGTGTAAGACTCAGTCATCATATTATGTTACTTTTCAAAATGGCCTATAGAGGAGGCTTACACAAAGCAATCAATGAGAACTCGAAGTATGCTGGAGAAGTAGGAATGTCAAGGTCACTCACAACACAATTGCAGAAGTTTTTGTTGTTGTTGCTTTGAGGAAACTAAACAGTGCTTACTTAAGTTCCCATTATGACTTTAGCAAAAGTGAATATACAGTTGGGCACGGACGACACAAACACAGAAAACTCACAATCATGGATAGCTCATACAAATTGCCATTCCTGGCTGATATCTCTTTAATTTTTCATTATCAGTTAACTCCAATCAAGAATTATGGACGTGTTGAATACATTTGTCAATCCCCAACGTGTTTGAATAACCGTGCCCAATTGTAGGTTCTCGTAGTGCCCGATAATAAAAGGTACAAAGGCAGGAGCAGTGTTCTACATATTGCTATTATAATAATCCAATCAAGAAAAAGTAGGCTACTTGTCGGAAACACAACCTTCACAAGGGCTTTGTTGTTTAATTTGTGTCTCCCACATGCAGCTGACCTGAACAAAGAAAAACGTTTCGCAACACGGTGGAATCGGGCACATGGAGTTATTGGTGTCCTCTTAAAGCTTTTTTGGGGAAAATACCCATCTATCTTGAATAGAGGTCAAGATATTTACTATTTGAAGTAGGGAAGGGTCATCTGGTGTCAGAGGTAAAATTAGCGAGAAAATGGCCGCCAAAGTGTGGTGACTTCCAAAGCTTGAGTGTTCTTGGAAACTAATGTAACATTTTTTGTGCCTTTGATCAGTTTTTCAGTAAAATCTACACAGAAATGTGTTTTTAAATTAGCATAAAAGATGTTGTACCAAAAAAA